AAGAAGAATAGTGCATAAGGGTTATATCATATAAATGTCTGCTGTCATAAATGGCCAAGTTGATAAAAAAAATTGGTTGAATACCAAATAGTGACACAGAATGCTCACTTTAAGATATGAAAAAATAAACACCCAGAATTGAGTAGAGCATATCCTATTTACTCCTTGATCAGTTTTTTTTGATTTCCTATTCTTCAAGTAGAGGGCATTTTCTGATCCTTATTTTTGTGCTTAAAGCCTCGAACTGCTAGAAAGAAATTGAAAACAAAAGCAAGTAAGCTGCTTAGAAGAAGATTACAGTATATCTATATGATAAAGTCCTAATGCATGATGTAAAGTGCAAAATGACAGGATGGCTCCTGCAAACAGAACAATACATACCTACAGTAATAATGATTTCCTGAATCAAACATCTTCAAACGGAGATTATGCATACTTAAGTAGAGCAATAGTCTTTTCAGCGTCTCCTTCCTATTTTTCTTCCATTGTGAAAGCTTCTTCCTCCTAATGCCATTGCAAGGATGAAATATAAGACAATGTGGTGCTAGCTTTCTCATTATCTGGAAAGCATATTTAAGTACTTGCTGGCAATCCATCTCTAGCACACAAGCTCCAAATTTGGTAGCAGCTTTAGAAGTTGCAAAAGCAGAGGTTCTTGATTTCAGTTTGCTACAGCAGAGAAGAACTGGCAGCATAAAAGTCGATGTTACAAAGTGACTGCTGAAAACAAATCTTTGATAGTAAAATAGAACCATTTTCAAACAAACACTACCTGCTTTAACTTTGGAATAGCCATCTAAAACTACCAATAGTCTTTACAAGAACACAGCCCATTCTTAAAATGATGATATCTAATCCGATCCCTGACAATGATCTCACGATCATAGACCTTTGATATGAATTTTGTTGCTTCATGGCAATCTCCACAAACTCTTAGATTCTTCACAATGCGAATTGGAGTTCTAGGTGCTGTGTTCATTAGCCCAAAAGCAATAGCCAACTTCTCACTATGCCTTGATAAGGCAGTCTCTTTTTCTTCCTCATCATTGATATCGAGCAACACCTCTCCCACTTCTGGAACATACCCAGCAATTTTTAGTCTTCTAGTCATCTTGTCCAAGAATAAAAAAATCTGCTTAGTTTGTGGGTGAGATTGGTCTCCCACAAGGAATTGATGGAATACCCCATTCAACTCAATGGAGCTGCAACCAGGAATTTTCTGTCTCCCACTCTCCTCAAGTTTCTCTCTCACAGCCGTCGCATCACTCCATCTCCCAGATGCAGAATACATGTTAGCCAAAAGAACATGACAACCAATATGGTTAGAGTCCAGTCCTTTAATGAAATTTCCTATTCTCTCTCCTCTTTCAATATCTTTATGAATTCTACAAGCACCAAGAAATGCTCCCCATATAGCAGCATCCGGGACCATTGGCATATTCAATATTGTCTCTTCTACTTCATCCAAGAGGCCAGCACGCCCTAGCAGATCTACCATACATCCATAATGCTCTATCTCAGGTTCAATACTATAAGAAGTAGCCATTGACTTAAAATAATCTCTGCCCTCATCAACCATATAGCCATGACTGCAGGCAGTTAATAATGCAATAAATGTGACTTTGTTGGGAGCAACCCTTCTAAACTTCATTTGCTCAAAAAGATCAATTGCTTCCCATGATTTTCCATGCATTGCAAACCCACCAATCATAGCATTCCATGGCCAAATTTTTTCCTTAGATGCAGATTCT